ACACTGCAATCACATGCTTAGGTGGAAATCACTGTGCCATAGAAAGTATCTAGTTGAGTGTTTACCCAGTTTTAGAAGTCACAGCTGATTGGCTTTTGTGCAGAGTATCATAAGATGCCAGCCAATAAGCTAATTTTTACCAAGAGATCATTGGATAGATAAGTCAAAAAAGAAAAGGTAATATACATAAATATCCCCTCCACTTAGTTTAAAGGTAAAACACACAATTTCACTTAAGCTCTGTGGAAAGTGTCCTGTTTTTCTTCACAGAGCTTCAGTAAATCAGCTGGTGTTGTATATGAGCTGAAAATATGAAAGAGAAGGGGCAGACAACTAAGGAAGCTGGTTGTGCATTGCTGGGCTCTTATGTTGTTAAGGTACACATGATGTTTTGTTATTTTCACATGTAGTTACACATACTGTTCACTTAATTAGAAGATGCATTCACACTGTATTCATTTTCTTTTTATTTTTAAGTAAGTTTTTGAGATTATAATAGAAACCTCTAAGCAAAAATGTCTACTTACAAAAATGTTTTGCTTTGGACTGTGCAGTTCTGATTCACTATTCAACAGAGCTTAGAAAACTGACTTCCTCAAATATTTCCATGAGTGCCAAAATGAACCATAGTCTACCTTCTAGTCAAACTCATTGATGCTCCAATTTGTAGGTTAAATTTTCTCACTAATGATAGATGGATTCTGGTCCCTTAACTCTTATTTTATTCTGAATCTATATTTTCTAATCTAAATCTTGCCAAATATAACTTGACAAAATGTCATTGCTAATAAAAGAGTTAAAGTGCTTATATGATATATTACAATCTTTTTTATTTAATAATGTTAACTGTCTTTAACCAGCATGACAGAGTATTATATTCAATGGCATATACAAATATTTTTTATATTTTTTTATTTTTTATATTAATCACAAGTTTACTTTGTATCCCAGCCATAGCCCCCTCCCTCCTTCCCTCCCAATCCTACCCTTCCTCCCTCATCTCCTCGCTGCAGCTTTCCAAGTCCACTGATAGGGGAGGTCCTCCTCCCCTTCTATCTGACCCTAGCTTATCAGGTATCTTCAGGACTGGCTGCAATGTCCTCCTCTGTGGCCTAGCGAGGCTGCTTCTCCCTTGGAGAAGGGGGAGTCAAAGAGCCAGCCATTGAGTTCATGTCAGAAATAGTCCTTGTTCCCCTTGCTAGGCTACTCACTTGGATATTGAGCTACCATGGGCAACATCTGAGCAGGGATTCTAGGTTATATCCATAACCTTTGGTTGGAGAAACAGTCTCATAGAAGACCCCTGTGCCCTGATATATTTGGTCCCTGTGGAGCTCCTGTCCTCTCCAGATCATACTAACTCCCCCTTCTTTCATATGATTCCCTGCACACTGCCCAAGGTTTAGTTATGAGTCTCAACATCTGCTTTGATACACTGCTAGGTAGAGTCTTTCAGAGACCCTCTGTGGTCGGCTCCTGTCCTGTTTCTTGTTTTCTTCTACTTCCGATATCCATCCCATTTGTCTTTCTAAGTGAGGATTGATCATCTTACCCCAGCTCCTCTTTCTTGTTTATCTTCTTTAGGTGTATAGATTTTAATATGTTTATCCTATCTTATAGGTCTAGTACCCATTTATAAATGAATATATACCATGTGTGTCTTTTTGCTCCTGGGATACCTCACTCAGGATGATCTTTTCTAGATACCACTAATTGCCTGCAAATTTCATTATTTCTTTGTTTTTAATTGCTGAGTAGTATTCCATTGGGAAAAGTATCACAATTTCTGTATCCATTCCTTCATTGATGGACATCTGGGTTGTTTCCAGGTTCTGGCTATTACAAATAAAGCTGTTAGAAAAAAGCAACAAACCAAGCAATACAATTAAAAAATAGGGTGCAGAGCTAAACAGAGAATTATCTGTAGAAGAATACAGAATGGCAGAGAAACACTTAAAGAAATGTTCAACATCCTTAGCCATCAGAGCGATGCAAATTAAAACGACCCTGAGATTTTACCTTACACCCATCAGAATGGCTAAGATGAAAAACTCAAGTGACACTACATGTTGCAGAGGATGTGGAGAAAGGGAACCCTCCTCCATTGCTGGTGGGACTGTAAACTCATACAACCACTTTGGAAATCAATCTGGCACTTTCTCAGACAATCAGGAATAGTGCTACTTCAAGATCCCGCTATTCCACTCCTAGGTATATATCCAAAAGAGGCTCAAGTACACAATAAGGACATTTGTTCATCCATGTTTATAGCAGCTTTATTCGTACAAATAATTTTTAAATTTAGGTGTTCTGCTGTCCTGGGGCTAGGGAAATGACTCAGTGCTCAAGTGCTTTCTCTGCAAGCATGAAGACACAAGTTTGAATCCTCAGAACCCAGTAAATGTCAGGTGAGTGTGGCAGCCTTCCTATGACTCTGGTTTTGGAAGGTAGAGACAGAGCAGTCCTCCAGAGCAACCTGGCTAGAGTCTAGGCAAATTTGGTAGCTCTAGGTTTGATTTAGTGACCTTGCCTAATTATGCAAAAGCTCTGAAGGATGATGGCCAACACCAATCTTGTGAGTCTACATGCACATATACCCATATTCATGGTCACCCCCCCACACATGCAAAATGAATGTATATGAACAGCATGACCCCCACAAAAACCCAAAAAGAAAAAAGAAAAAAAAAGAATAGTTCTTAGAGTATTTAGCATAAAAGAGAACAGTGATTTGTATGTCTTTCTGTTTGAGCGTTTAGCATAAAAGATAACAGTGATTTGTACAACTTCTTTCTGACAAGTTAAGACGAATTACCTTTTGGCCAAATCAGTCCTCAGAACTCTGAAAATGCAATCAAGTCAGGTATGCATTTGTGTGGATGTTATCAAGGTCAAGAAGCAGAACACTAAAATGAACTGATTTCTTTCTGATTAAGAATAAAATTTCACAGTGAAGGGCTGTAATCATGTGGAGAAATAGATGCAAGATAACTAGAAAAGGAGAGAGATACAAAAGAAAAGGAAAGATAGGAAATAAAATATGAAAGAAAAATGAATGAAGAAGAAAGAGGAACACGTTTGTCTTCCTGGGTCTTGAGGTGATGGTAAGCAAATCAAGCTTCAACTTTAGCTTCTTGAGAAAGACAACTCGATTTTTTTTTTTTTTTTTTTGTAAAGGAAGAAAAAAAGAACAAAATGCTGAATATAGCTCCTAGAGAAAACGGGAACACATTACTCATTCTGGCTACATAACAGCAATTGTCTAGCAAAGAAAGCTTTATCTTAAGCTTTGTGTGCCTAACGATTTGTTTATTGGGAAAGTAATCACTTTCAAATGAAATAGATACCTCCATTGCAGAGAATCTCTTAGCAACTATAGCTTTCATTTTGAGGCATAAATTGTTCCGTTGGATGCAATGGGCTTGGCAAAGAGTTTTGAAGAGCTCCAGCCAGGATCTGTCATTATATAAACGCATGATTTAAATTTTCTTTGTTGTCAAACTTTTCTGTGTGTGATGCAGTTCATTGTTGCTTCAAATCCCATGTGGAAGAGATCAGGGAGTGTGTGACAATCAGTACAGAGTGCAATACTTTCAACAGTGCAACGAGGAAATGTGTTTTGTTTCACTTGAGCCAGTTCTTCCAAAGGTGAACCAATTAGTCTGTGTTTAAGAAACATAGCAAGTTGTTGGTAAATCAAAGCAGTGAGAGTGTCAAATGAGGAGGACACACTAATTGTCATGTCTCATTAGTAACTTGAAAATTGGCAGGGTTTCCTTTTACGTCAGAGCGGGAGTACAAAGTACTGTTGACCACTGATTTTATCATGCTGATAAACGTGCTCTGCTGCATCCCTTTAAACACAACTTTTTCATGTATTAAAAAAGCTAAGCCAGGGGTGGTAGCACATGCCTGTAATCCCAGCACTTGGGCAGGCAGAAGCAGGAGGATCTCTGTGAGTTAGAGGCCAGCTTGGTCTCCAGAGCAAGTTCAGGACAGTCAAGACTACACAGAGAAACCCTGTCTTGAAAAACAAAACAAATAAAACAAAGCTATCAGCTGATGTTTCATGTGCATTTGTTGGAACATATTTTTAACAGTAAATTCTCCAAGCCTTGCAGGAAATGTTAGTTTAGGACCAGATAAAGTTGTGTTCAGTGGTTACATTCAAACTTTCGTTGGAGCTGAGCAGGTGGCCCATGCCTGTAATCCTAGTACTCATGAAGGCAGTGGCAGGTGGATCTCTGTGAGTTCAAGGCCTGGTCTACAAATTGAGTCCAGGACAGCCAAGGCTATACAGAAAACCCTGTCTTGAAAAAAAAAAAATAAAACAAAACAAAAAATAACTTTTTGTTTGTTAATCATAAGAATATATCTTTTAAAACAAGACATTTAGTCACTTCATCAAAAGGACTTACAGTTCCAGGAACTTTATTCTCTAATTTTACATTTCTTCATTTGCTGCCAGTAATAAAACAGGAAGTGAAGATTCACACAAATTTCTAATGTAGGTGATATTCCAGGTACTTACATTAAAATCTTAATATACCTACATTCTCATTTAGCTCTCATATTAACTGTATAAAGTGAGTATTACCAAGTTACAACTTTTGTGCTTCCTTGATTTTAGATTTTTAATAACATCCTTCAGTTGACTGATGCAGTGATAAAATATTTTAGATAATCCCCTGCTGACTTGAAGGATCTTCTATGACTAGAAAGAGAATAACAAGGGCATATCACCTTGATGCCATCTACTTTCTAAATAATTTGCATGATTTTTCTGTTTTTCTTTTCTTGGTACTTAATGAAATTTGTTGACACCTTTTGCTTATGTAAAGTATTTGAGATATATCCGGATATCCAAACAGCCAGAATAACAAATGTAGCACTGATAATAAATTTTACTGTCACTAATGCATACTTTTGTGCTTACCAGGCATTCTGTGGAGACTTTGTTAGACAGTAAACATCAGGACAGCAGTTCTATTCCTACCTACCTGAGTTTTATCTCCATGTCTCACTGTCCTCACTGCCGCCTCCTCAGCTAAGCTTCTTCTGTGGCTTGGCAGGGCTTCTGAACTAAAGTCCTATGTGGACCCTTGGTCCATTATAACTAGGCCTGCAGATAGTAACGAGAGGAATGTTTATGGAGTTTGAACCAGATAGCCTTACTGTTTAGCCAAATGATCTCTAAGAACTTTACCTGGGAATTATGCAACAAACCCACTTATGAAATCTCTGAACAAAGTCTGGCTGCTTCTTTATTTCTCAGACATTGACCGTTATGCAGTAGGGTGCCAGATCTATTGCTCCCTGGCTTGTGAGTCTCTTATTAAATATTTATGAATTTCACAAGACAGTGATATCATATCAGGAGCTTCAAGTAGAACATGATAGGAGGATTTACTCAACAGAATTCAGCTAGTGCGAGAAGTCAAGGCTTTTATGGATTTTGTGTGTTTGCTCTGGAGAGCTGGCTGTTAATCATCAACTATAACACAACTCTTACTATTGCTCTCAATTTTTAGTAATGGTGGCTTTGCCTGGTTGTGATGGTTAGGTTTTTGTTTTTGTTTCTTCCGCTTGACACATGTCAAGACATATCTGAGGAAAGGGACTCTCATTTAAGGAGTTGCTTCGATCAGATTTCCCGTGGGCACGGCTTTGGGGCATTTTATTCATTAATGATCAATATGGAAGGCCCCAGTTCACTGTGGGTGGTACCATACATGGTCTCACAGTTTGGGGTAGTATGAGAAAGCAGGTTGAACAAGCCATCAGGAGCAAGACAGTAAGGTTACTCCGTAGTCTGTGCTTCAGTTCCTGACTCCTGCTTCCTGCCTTGGCTTTCCTTAATAATGGAATATAACCTGAAGCTGTAATAATAAACCCTTCACTCCACCATGTTTGTTTTGGTCAGCATTCTACACAGCCACCAAAAGGACACTGACCTTCTGGCGAGTGTGTTCTGCTCCTGTCACTTTAAGACTACTGCTTATATTGTCCCCTTTAGGATTGTCCTCTTTAGGATTTTCAAATTGCTGGCTCCTTCTCACCCTAAATGACATTTTCCTAAATAGGATTTCCATGACTGTCTTAATCGGAGGGATCACTATACACCACACAACTATCTTCTGTATAATCTCAGCCACTTAAAACTGTGCATTGAACGTATGACAGGAGTCTACCGCAAAAGGCACCTGAAAGACTCTACCTAGCAGTGTTTCAAAGCAGACACTAAGATTCATAACCAAACCTTGGCAGAGTGCAGGGAATCATATGAAAGAAGGGGACTTAGTATGATATGGAAAGGATAGGAGCTCCACAAGGACCAAATATATCCAGGCACAGGGTCTTTTCTGAGACTGACACTCAACCAAGGACCATCTATGGATATAACCTAGAACTTCTGCTCGGATGTGGCCTGTGGTAGCTCAGTAACCAAGTAGTTTTCCAAAGTAAGGGAACAAGGACTATTTCTAACAGGATCTCAAGGGTAGGCTCTTTGACCTCCTCCCTCCCCCCCCCCCGGGGGAGGAGCAGTCCTGTTAGGCCACAGAGGAGGACTTTGCAGCCAGCCTTGAAGATACCTGATAAAACAGGGTCAAATGAAAGGGGAGGAGGTCCTCCCCTATCAGTGGACTTGGAAAGGGGCAGGGAGGAGACCAGGGAGGGAGTTGGGAAGGGGGAGGGAATGAGGGAGCGGGATACAGCTAGGACACAGAGTTAACAAATTGTAACTAAAAAGAAAAATTAAAAATTAAAAAAAAAAAAACTGTGCCGCCAAGTTCATGCTCCTCTGCACTATGTCGCTTGCATTTGATATTAAACTGCAGAGAAACAAACAGTAAAGCATATACTTGTCTATTTTTTTAAGAATCATAAGGTCAGGCAGTCAGAGGTACAAGAGCTGGGTAAAGACATCAAGAACTAGGCTCTTGCCTTTCCTGCTTCTGCATCCTTACCTTGGGACCTGAAAGCCATCTTCATCATCATATAATTGTTATTTCAACTCTAGACATATTAACCCATTTAGCTGTCAAGGTAAATGGGGAAGAACAAAGGAGCGAAGATCAACTTCTGAAAGCATAACTGTGCAGTTTGTCCATCTGAAAGGCATTTTTGGACTTTGTACTTACAATCACCTGCTCAATATTAAGAAAGATTATGGAGGGAGAAATGTGTTCATTTTCTGCATATTGTAGTGGATGGCAGCAAGGGATAAAAGACTTTGGAGTATTTAGTATATTTTTGCTGCCCTAGTACAAAATAGCTTTAAATAACCATATTTCAGCTTCAAAAAACTTATGGACTAAAGTCTTTATGGCAGTGAAATTAGTCATAAGTCATCATTAAAGACTGAAAAGACGACTTCATGATTACTCCAGACCACTGGAAGCTTGAGTTCTGTCATTTCTTAAACTCTGTTATTTGGTTCACAGTGCTCTGGTTTCTAGACTGCTGTATCTTTAATGAACTCTTAACAAATTTTTCCTATTACTATTGTCAACAATCTGTGGAGAGAGACTTGACCATTTCTCTACAATTTAATGTCATTGCTAAGATCAAGTGCATTCTGAGACAGTCTTATGCATGTTCATGATGTTATGTATTACCATATTTAAATAATAATAATTGGTATGAAACATTTCTCTGTTTTTTTTTCAATCAGTTTTAAGTATCAGGTTAGAGGAATAAATACATTCATAGCCAACAGAACTAAACATTGGTGTTTTTCTTTCAAGCCCCCCCCCCTTTACCATTTATTGGTTGTATAGCATTGGGCCAAATAATTTATCTATTTAAGCCTTATTTTGTTTTTTGGGGGTGTAGGGTAGGGATAATAGTAATCTTTATGTATACATAAAGGTTTTCCTAAGTACTATAGATGGCTTTCAATGACAGCCACTAATTCACAAGGATTCTGAAAAATACACTCATTGTAGCTAGCCATTCTGTAAATGCTCAAATCTGTTATATAAAAATAGCATAAGGAAATATACTTTAAATCATCTCAGTATTATTCCTTATACCTAATGTATTAAATAACTAAAATATGCGCTATAAGTCACTGTTATATTCTCCTGTTTATGGAATAATGACAAAAAGATCTGCACAGATTCAGAACATATCCACTTTTTAAGCCAAAATCTATTTTGGATCTATGTTTAGTGATAGCTGGAGAGTATATCCTCTAGACACAAACATCTGGCAGCATATGGGTTATCAAGCCACATTACAAACATTGCCCAGATTCTAAAAATTTATTGCTTGATTCAAATTTCAAATTTTCATTGTAAGCTCCTTTCTTGGAGAACAAGCTTTTTTCCTCTGGATCTGTATCATTATAAGTAAAAGGGGTGACAAGGATACATTGATAGTCTATGCCAGTGATTCCCAACATGACTTTACATTGTGATTGCTGGGGAACTCTGAAGATTCTGATACCTAGGTCGTACACAGCCTCAGTGAAATCAGAAATATTAGTGAGTAGGATCCAGGCATCTGTGATTTTTTCAGTGCTCCCAGGTAATTCCATTGGGTTGCCTAGACTAATACCCATTCTATTCTGTCATTTGAAAGCTCTCCAGGTGATCCTGTTGATCAATAGCTATCACCTGAGAGAGGTACACTAGTAAACGCATAAGGGTTAATCTGTATTGAAAAAGGAAAAATTAAGAGCTCAGTGTCTGACCAAGAAAGCCCGCAGAGCACATAGCTATTGTAAAACTACTGAATGTCAAAGAAGAAAAGCTGCTGAAAGAAAAATAGTGATGGAAATAGGAATAAAGGGCACAGGGTTTAGCATTGCTCAGACCCTAAATTTCCCATTTGTTTTCCATAACCCTGATGAGAATAATATCACAGACATTTACCCCATTTACAATTATGTGAAGATAAACTGAGTTAAAAGTTGTGAAGATATTAATAAACAATGGCTTCATATTGTAGTTTCTGTGTTTCCCCACTATCTTTGTGCTGAATGAGTTGTAATTGCAATGTTAAATGGTAAAAGCTTTAAGAGGCAATTCGGTAAGTAGGGACCTATGTTCAGTGTGGGTCTATACCATTACGGAGACAGAGGGCTGTGTGTTCTCAGTAACCACTTCAAGCGTGAGTTCTGACTTGTGTGGGCCTGCTTGCCGTGATCATGGGCTTCCCAGCCTTGTGATCTGTGAGGAAAATATTTACTTTGTAAGTGTTGCCAGTCTGTGAGTCTGTGTTACGGCCACAGAGAACAGACTGGCACAGATTGGTATCCATGAGGAGCTACAGCAACAACTAATGTCAGAAAATTAAGAACGTTTTTAAAACCAGTATACAAACAGAAATAAGAGAAGCTAAGAGAGTTTGAAAGAGCCTAGCAACAGGGTATGTTGCTGTGAACAGAGTACTAAGGGTGATTCTAATGGGAGATCAGACATTGAAGAGGTTAGGGAAAGTTTTTAATGTCTCATAATTACTGGGCCACTGTAGGAATGTTGACAGAAATACAGACAGTACAGACCATACAATCTCCGACTGAAATGAAAAATAAACAAGATATTGGAGACTGAAGCAAAGAACATTCCTATTATATAATAACAAAAAAGTCAGTGAAATTATGCCCATATCCTAAGGCTTTATGGAATATAGAACTTCAGTGTGATGGGCTAAAATATCTAGCTGCGAAAAATTATCTGAACAGCTAGCACGAGAGCAGCTGCATGGCGACTTTTTAACTATTTGCATTGCGAGATAGTATAAAAACCATTTAAAGATGGAGGACAGAATTAAAAGAAAATTGGAAATCAGAAAAGGATTTGTACAATTTGAAATTTATATGTGTACAAGAAAGATTTTTGTTTCAACAAGAATACAAATGGGACTGTTGTACAAAATGATTAATATGGAGAGAAAGATCAGAGCCAAGCACTGATCGAGAGGACAGTAGTAGAGAGTCAAGGAAAGCATGAATGTATAAACATAAATTCTAACTTCTACACCTCTATGTCTACCTTGCAAGACACTGACTTAAATAAATATCCAGTTTTAAGACTTGCTGTATTTTTCCTTGTTCCATTTTAG